TTCAATACGTTGTTCATCCAAGTTTCTTCTTTAATCTGTTATTCTTATATTATATATTTTGTTTTCAACATTTGACTATCAATACTGGATGTATGGTATTTGATTGTGATAATCCAATGATATTCAAAAACCATTTGTACATGATTTGGTGATAGGAAAACTTGAATTTGATTTTGCACTCTATGTGTTTGATAAAATGCCCATGAGAAGTTGTTTTCTATATCAAAAATTTTTACAAGGAATATTGTGTGCGTGTTTGTGTTACTTGCTTTGCTCCTTCATAAATTTCCAAAAAATCCATGACTTTGTATTATTCTTTTATCTATCAAGTTTTAATGCAAGTAACTAGCATCGAAATTTCATGTAGAGAAAGTAACTTGGTGATTATCTTTTGTCGATAAATACAGTGAAGACATAAGCATACGCTGAAAGATTAAAGAGTTTGAACTCCATCTCAAAATTTTGTGCATGTTTCTACTGGAAGATCACAACCGGTAGCTATCATGGCTGCTTCAACAACAATACATGTAAAGGTAATTCTTTTTTTCCCTTTTTGTAACTTCTGAATTTAATAAATTTGTATCTATAAGCATCAATATAATTTTATAGTAAATTAACCATCTTTTAAAGTCTCTTATTATGTGATCATGTCATGGTGTTGTTCAAGGATTTCTTGTCACACATTGTAAAACGAATAGTAGCCACCATGTGTTAGAAAAAATGTCACAAACAATAAGTACATGATGATTGCATTGATTTTAATTTTAGAAGGTTTTCTATTTGATTAACCAACTTATTTGCCTATTATTCTTAAACAATGAGTTGCTGAAATATTTCAATTTATATATGCTGGAGTAACATCGTATAGAAGTTTGAATATGATATATTGAAAAAGATTTATATTTGCAGTCATAATGGTTAGCTGGTGATTTGTTTCATGTTTTTGGGTTAAGAAGTTTTTTAGATCTAAGAAACAATGGCGCATATGTATAATTTGGAGATTGTAGCGCGATGGTTAATTTTATTGTAAAGTTGGGAACTTGATGCTTTTTAGAATGAAAACTAAGATTAAGTTAATTCCAGCTTGGTAGTTGTTGACGAATAAATTATCTAATTAAGGCTGGTTAAGCTACAAAAGCATCGATTGTTACTCTTCTATTTTATCCCATGATACCATCACTACTCACTTAATTGTTCTATATTCTTTTAGTTAGGAGTAGATTGATTTTGACCTATTAACATACTATAGTGGAAAAATCCATAAGTTATTATTAGTTGTAGGCACTCAAACTTGAAATTATTTTATGCTGGAGATTAGCTTTTTAATACATAATGTTGATTAGCATACTATATAGGGGAAGATGAACTGCTGGCATTAGCCTGTAACAAAAACAGTATATGTTTGTAGAAACCTATTTTTGTATTAAGTTGTTATATGATAGTAACGTGGTTAATAGAACAACTATAATTTTTTTTGGGTCTCACGCAATCATATTTCTTATTACTCAACCTGATGTCTAACTCTCTATCTAAATATTTGTTCACTACTAACCATTTATTTTCTGTCAAGCAGGATATTGAAATTGGGTTGTAGGGTGATGGAAAATCTGTTATTATGAGTTTCTTGGATTTTGGTCTTTTGGTAGATTCTAATATAATATATATGAAATTTTCCATTACTATATAATATCCTTCCATATTATTTTTATTTGATATAGATTAATGGGAACTCCAACAGAAGGTACATGGCCTAGAGTAAGATCTCTACCTAATCATGTCTTGTAATTAGCAATGTTTATTTGTTTCAACAATCTTTCAAGTCTGATATGAATTCGTATTTTTTCTTTGTTATAACATGCTTCATGGTTATAGTTAGCTAGATATTCCAAAATATAATGATTTAATAAGAAATTTATGTGGGTTGTAGTGATCTAATTACTTAATGTCGTTTTTGATTAATATGTAGGTTAATACCAAATTACTTTCTTTCATTTTGAATTTAGGAAGAGTATAAATGGTAAATTGACGGGACTATTCGTTAATACTGTAACTTTGTATTTTTCATTTTCAATATTATTTTTGTATTTTCTTAATTGTTTTTAAATTTACCGTTAATCATAACGATTTTTTTTATCTCTTATTTTACTTTGTTACCCGTGTATTACACGGGTTATAAATAAACTTAAACTATTCTTAATAAAAGATTTTTTTTTTGTCCACATGTCATCTTTTTACAACTATGGTTTGCCACGTGGCACAATATCCTGTATTTTTCTACAAAATTTCCCGCTCATATCTCTTTAATGAAATCTGTAATATCCCTTGACATAAGGTATTTAAATTAGAATGTATTCCATTATCCCAACAAATCAGCAAAAAAATCATCTACTTATTTGAAATGGAATAACAATAGGCAATAAAGCAACTAATCTAATTTTATCAAAAAGTTAAAGCCATTCTGTTAGGTAGCAGAGTGCAATCGCCTTCTGCATCGGTGATGTAATAGTCTGCTTCGCTTTCTTCATAGGTTTGAAGATTCATTCTCTACCAGGTAATCATTTTTTTTTCTGCAGTATGTGTGTGGTTCATTTGTTTCTATCATCTATGTTTATTATTCGGTTTCATCCATATTCTTCAACAAATTCTATCAAAATTTGAAATTTCTTAACTAAATAAATCCCAATTTACACAATAAATAAATGATATGAAACCCAGATCTTCAATATCTTCAACGAAGACTCCAAGAATCAACAGATAAACGCCATGCAACGGTGTGTAATCATCCACTATATTGTCTTCATAACGTTCTTATATCATCGGTATTTTATGTTGGTGATTTTGATCATCAATGTTATTTAAGTGTAATGAGATTACTTTGTGTTGACCAAAAATGATCTTGATAAATATTAAACAAGTAAGGAAGGTGTGGAATACACACTTGTTTAAGTTTGATCAAGTTTCAAAGTACACTGTCATTTAGGGGCGAAGCCCCTGAACGAACGGGGGTTCGGGGGCAGCGCCCCTGGGAGCGGGGTCCAAGGGGCAGAGCCCCTGGCTGGGACCGATAATTGACCATTGGTTTGACTCTTATCTATATATTCATTTTTATGACAGTTTTTATGGTTTTATGACAGTTTAAAACTGTCATATGACAGTTTTCAGACAAAGATATTAAAGTTGGTTTTGGTCTCATTTTCTGGTACATACAAAAATATCATCAAACATTCTCGGTTTTTGTCTCTCTGAGTCTTATCCAATTGAATATTTGAGAGTACCACCAAATACTTCGATTTGAAAGTGATAATCACAATTCTCAGAATTTCCAAACCTTTCTACACCCAAATTTCTAACATTTTATTTCATCAGTTTCAAGTTTATTGAGTAAAGGTGGCACATGGTGTTGTATAATTCTATCGTTGTGAAGGTATCAATTTTCCTGCTATGCTCTACTATTTTTGGTGCCCTTCTCTATCATTTTTACTGCTATGGTGTTTTAATATTTTTCGACCAAAATAAATGGTAGCTTTCAAAGTGTATAAACTCGCACCAATTAATTTAGCATTTTGTGTATGTATATACAATTCTTTGGCTATTTACTAAAATTGATTGAAATCCAGATTTAGTCTCTAGAGTTGTTTATGTTTTTTTTTTCTCTTTATATATACTTAACCTGTTTATTAAAAGTCCTCATGGCACTTTACGACTTTGATGATATAGTGTTATTAGTTTATGGATTAATATGCAAATTACCATTCCACATTTTGATTTTCTTCAAGGGGTTTATCTTGATTGTTACATACACAACTTTGGCCTAAACAACACCAATCAAATAGAGGTACACATCTACGTTTTTTAATTTGTTCAAGAGGTTTAAAAATAAGAATCTTACTTTATGTAATTTACGATTTTACACTTTCTTGTCTATAAATTTATTTATAATTAAGGAAAAAAAGAAGCTCACAATACAAAAAATGACTCAATCTTATCAGGGAAACAAACATAGGTCGCACACCGTCAAATAAGGAAATAATATGAAATTTGATTTTCCATATTATTCTCATTTTTTTGAACTTTAAATTCCATACTATTCTCATTTTTTGAATTTTAAATTCTCATTTTTTGAATTTTAAACAAAGGATCGGACACCGTCAAGTACCAATGTCTTAGTTTCACATTATTCTTATTTAAGCATTGTACATTTTAAGTGCAATTTTGTAATTGTAGTTTCAGTTTATAAATAACTTCTTAACCTTAGAAAGTACAATGTTATTTTCAGTTTGTCTATGAAACTACAAGGCTACTTTTTGTTTTGCTTATGAAAACACAATCCAATTTCTGTTTTGCCCATGATACTACTTTTTTTTTGTATACACATTGAACGTAAATGATCATTTTATCCTTTTTATTTTTTCAATAAAATTATACTAATTTTGGCTAATAACATCAATGTCAATTATATTGTTGTCTTTTTTTTAACTAAAACAAATTTACAACTAATAGCAATGTACTTTGAAAGTACATTGTTGTAATTTATGTAACTTCACATTATTTCATGTTTTCTTACAATCAAAGTTACACTATTTTTTTGTTGATATTTTATTTTATTTTATTGTCTAATGATGATTATAAAAATAACAACCGTGGTTTCTACGGGTTATAACCTAATATATATATATATATATATATATATATATATATATATATATATATATATATATATATATATATATATATATATATATGAAAGTTTTAATATAAAATCATTATGTAAACTCTAATGATAACTTTTTCTTCCACAAAATTAGAACTTAGGTCAAAATTTCAGGATCCATTATTGACTGTTCGTAAAAAGACAGATCCATTATTGGTAGAGAGTAACGCTCTCCATTACATGGTACAAAAAGTCAACATACCACCACAGTCAACATGTATGAATTATTAAATTATGGGGCAAATCAGAATATTATAGTCTACAGATAAAAAAAAAAAAAAAAAAAAAAAGATGATGAATAAGACCAACCAAATGAAAGTACACTCTTGGACGAACTATGTGGATTTGCTTAAACAACATATAAATATTAGTTATCGGGTATCAAAACAACGGACCCGGTTGTTTTCCGATCCTCAAGGTCCAAATGAGCTTGAGCCACTTGCGATAAAGGGTACTTGTGATTTGCTCGAACACGTAAAACTCCTTTTGCAACATTATCAAACAGCTCCTCCGAAGCTGCAAGGAGGTCTTCTCGTGCTTTTGTGTAAAGCATCATGGATGGAATTGTAAAGTGCAAACATTTATCCGAAAACACACTGAATTTTACAGGCTCGGGTGAGCCCGATGCAAACCCAAATGAAACCATGTATCCACGAAACCTTAAGCACGCCGCCGATTCCTTCAAAAACAAAGTATAAAAATTATAATAAATTAACAAACCAGTAGTTAAATTTAAAATATGTTGTTGTTTCTTGTATTTAACCCTTGGATTAAAATTATAAATTGTTACCTCAAATGTGTCTTTCCCAATAGAATCATAGGCAATATCAACTCCTTTTCCTGATGTGATCTCCATAACACGATCGACAATGTTTTCTTGTTTGTAGATAATGACATGGTGGCATCCATCTTCCTTAGCTTGCACCGCTTTCACTTCATTTGACACGGTTCCAATCACGGTTGCACCGAGTGCGTTTGCCCATTGACACACCAATGACCCGACTCCACCTGCGGCTGCATGGACGAGGATCGTATGCTCGGGTCCAATCTGTTTTCAAAATTATAACGATACTGATTGCCAATATCATTTTTGGCATCTAAAAGCAAAATTGAATTAATCACCTGAAAGCAACTGCGAACAAGAACGTGAGCAGTGAGTCCCTTAAAAAGCACAGCAGCGGCTATAATAGGATCAATTGAAGGAGGAACTGGTACGACTCTATCCGCAGGAAGTATCATTTCTTCGGTGTAAGAGCAGACAGGAAAGCCAGCGTAAGCCACGTAATCTCCAACTTTACAGGTGGTGACTTCTGGACCAATGGCTATTACAACTCCGGCTGCCTCCATACCTTCGTATTAATGGCAGATTCGCTTAATTTAATTTCAATTATTTTTGGATCATGATAGATGATTGAAAAAAAATGGTATTGTTGTAAACAAATACGCGCGACAATACTATGTAATCCTTGAAAATATATTAAGTTTTCTATTAATCAAACTACAAAACAAAAACTAACTGCTTTTTCATTATTTCAAAATAAAATAATTTTAAAGTAATACTTATTTATGGTTATCATTATATTTTGGAAATTTTTTTTTTTTAAATGTTTTAAAGTTGCAAAGTAAAAAATGCTTTAAAAAATAGCCAATTTATGTTTTTTACACGGTTCCTGCTATCTGTTGAAAGTGATCACAACTATTTCAAATTTTACTTTTTGGGCTCAGATTTTAAGATCTATTACAAATTTGATTAGAACTTTTAAGATTTATTACAAATTTGATTAGAACTTAAAATCTTGTTAAGAATTTACCCCCAAATTTAAAAAAAAAAATTATTTTTGTACAACCTTTTTAAGACTTTTATATAATGATTTATAAGATTTTTTTCTTAACTTTTTTTTCCAAATTTTTTATAAAAAATTCTTTTACAATACTATTTTTTTTTTCAACTTTTGCATTACGTGATCTACATTAGCAAACCATTTTTTCTCGATGATTGTGCTGACACATGGATTTAATGAAATAAAAAATATAATATATTATTTCTTCTATTTTAAGCTACTTCATCGTATCAAGTGTGGCACCATCATTATAAAATTCGCTTTGCTAATATGTATATGAGGCAATGAAAAGTGGGAAAAAAGTTTTAAAATTGTTGTAAAAGATTTTTTTTTAAAGTTAAGAAAAATATCTTAGAAACCATTTTAAAGTTCAATAAACGTTGTAGAAAAATAAATTTATAAAAATTAACTAAACTTGTTAAGAACTCGTAATAAGATTTTAAATTCAGATTAAATTTATAATAAAATTTAAAATCTGGGCTGCAAATAATAAAAATTAAAAAAGTTAGTTTTAAAACACAAAATCTTTGTTTCGACAACTTTTTGTCAATTTCTTCCGTCATTCTTGCGAGACATCCAAAATGTTCATGTTAGAGTTGATGTTTTTAATTATATAACTTTTAGATATAATGCATATGATAATTCCACTTTTTGTTTCACGCCTACTGAATTTCTTTGAATTTTCACATAAATACAAAAAGATACAAATTAAAATTCAAAAACAAATGATTAAAATAATACTAATAAAGTAAAGATACACACTTTCCCAATTACTGAGTTGCCATGAACACAAACCACCAACTCCATTCATTATCACCTTTGCTATTTTCACTTTATATATTTTAATACTTACACGATTTAATGTAGCTATTAGTAATGTAATCCATCAAACAAGAACGTAGAATTGATCAATCATCGCATAAGTTCGTAATAAGACACGAGAAAATTAGAGAAGGAATTAAAACAAATTTATACCTGGTGTGAATGTCAGTGGAGGACATAAACTCGGGATTAAACCTCTACGCATATAAACATCCAAATAGTTTACTCCAATCGCCTTGTTTTTCAGTTTGATTTCTCCACTTTTCGGTTCTCCTATATCCACATCCTCCCATTTCATAACCTGCAACAGTTTTTGCATTGTTAAACAAACAAAACTAATCTCATTGAATATTGAAAATCAATGGCAACCATGTTTTTCAATTTAGAGCAGAATATAAACAGATCTGACCATAGTGGAAAGTGGAAACCATTTGATTTGGAGATCAAACATACAAGATCTTAACAAAAGAATGTCTGAGTTTCTACTATTTTACAAATGGATTGATGAAGAAACTCACCTCAGGGCCACCGTGTTCATAAACCCTAATTCCTTTAACCATGGTGAGTGTTGCTTGAAGCCTTGAACTGAATCGATGAAGAACGTCTGAGTTTCTACTGTTTTAAATGCGATTTATATATATAGGAACGAAAAAGGTTGTAGTCGCTTTTGTTGTGTTAGTGTAACATTAAAAATAACATTACATTGCCTGGTTTTCTTACATATAGAGAGGTCAAAAAGTCAACATAGCACCACAATGCAATATTGCTATGAACATGTATGGACTGATTAGTGATTACAAATATTTTCCTTTCTCTGTTCTCATTGAACAACAATTAATATTAATATTAATATATAGGCTGATTTCAATGTGGGTTTACTCGGACCGAGACTACTTGATCTTTTTCTAATTTTTATTATAGTATACATACAATAAATTACAAAGATGCTTATCTAGAGTGTCTAGTTTGGAGCTTTAGGCTTGGTGGTTTGGAATGAAACTCCTATATCAACATGTGAAATCTTTGAATTCCAACCCAAATCAAATTTGGAATACCATGAAGTAAAAGATGCGATTGCAAACCGGCTTTTTCAGCGAGTCTACCCCTGAAATTTCCGTTCGATTCATGCAAACCCTCAAATCTTTGACATCACGTTTCCTATTACTTCGTTTGACATCATGCGGTTAGTTTTCATATCAGTTATCTTTGCTGTCTAAAAATATATAAGATTTTTTTGAGTATCCACAGAATTGTTTTTAATCCTTTTTGTATCATGTCATGTTTGTACATTGGAGAGAGTAGTAACTAGGTCTTTTTTTATGATGATATTGTAAAACAGGGTATAACTTATTGAATATTAATGGCAATTTTTTGTATGATTAAGGGGTTAAAGATCTGAAGGATATTTTCAAGATTCAATCATTTACTTAAGCCTTTGGACAAAAATGACCATGAACATGGGAATTAGGTATGATTATAATATTTTGATTTTCTCATTCTCATTTATAATACTTTTGATTGATTTATATATTACATGTTTTATATTTCGTTGGCATTGAAATCTTTGTATGTTATGATTTATTGTCATGTCTAGAAGGTAGTTGATGATATGTTTTTTTTTTTTTTTTTTTTTTTTTTTTTTTTTTTTTTGCTTTATGGTTCTTTTAGGTTTCTTTTTTCTTAATGTTCCAAATTGTATACATTTAGGACTCTTACACGCTTGATTTTTAATAGTTTGAATTCGATATGTTTTCATTTAAGGTTCGCCATCTTGATACATCTGAAAAGAGTGAACTTCACAAGCTTAAACAATTAAAAGATGAACAACGTTAGACTTGTGCTTCTTGGTGTAAAACTAATCAGATTATAGGTTTTTTAAAAAAAATAGTAATATGTGTGACAAGGGCAAATACATCTTTTTACAAAACAAAAAAAATGTTGACTTATTCCATCTGAAACTTTTCAGGTGCAATATCCTATGCATCCATGTCTTTCAGAATTCCCTTCGAATAATTTTTACAAAGGTACCCTCCAAAATGGAGTTACCATAAACGAAAGGCAGTCAACAGGCATTGATTTTCCATGGCATGTCCAAATCGCCACATGTTTTTATGTCCAGGTATATGTGACAAGGGAAAAATGGTCTTAAAAGTTAAATCTTAACATTCTTTTATGTATTGATTTCACTAATTTATTTTATATTGTAAGATGGGACAAGAAGAAATAAGTGCTATTGAGACATCCTATCTTAACAGAACAGTTGCTGCAAATGTTGAAAAAATAGAGACTACTTTTTTAAAAAGTGTAGTTCCAAGTCAGGTATATATATTTTTATAAAAATAACTAGCACTGATAGGATATAATTAATTTATTATTATACTTAAATATTATGCAGATAGGGGTTATGACATCATACGAAGGCCAGCGTGCATATATTGTTAATTATATGCAAGAAATGGTGCACTTACTTTACAAGGACATTGAACTAATTTCACATTTTTTTCATAAATTCATATAATTTATGAGCTACATCATGTATACCTAGGTTGCAAGTGTTGATTCATTCCAAGGGAGGGAAAAAGATTACATTATTTTGTCATGCGTCAGAAGTAACGAACATCAAGTTGGTTAATATTTTTTCCCAATAATTACAAATATTTAACTCTCAATAGAAACATACTTATATTTTCTTTATACAACATGACAACACATACAATTTTTACCCATTGCTATGATCTGTATTTAGTTTAGGGTTTATAATGGGGTGATGAGATTTTAATTATGGTTTGCTTGTGTGTTTTAGGGTATTGGGTTTCTGAATGATCCACATAGGCTTAATGTTGCACTTACTCGTGCTCGATATGGTATTGTGATTCTTGGAAATCCAAAAGTTCTTAATAAACAACCATTATGGAATGGCTTACTCACACACTATAAGGTCATACCCTATAACATCTATGAAAAGACAATAATACCATTCCCCTAATAAATATCATTTTGTTTAAGTTGAGACCAAGAGCATGAGTGCTTGGTGGAAGGACCTCTCAACAACTTGAAGCAAAGTATGGTTATATTTCAAAAGCTAAAAAAAAGTAATGATAGTTTATCAATAATAAATTCATAATTCATCGTCCTTTTTAATCTTTCAAGTTCATTATTTATTACCTTTGTGAAATATATCATCTTACAATTACTTTTATTCAAAATTCAATGATGCTATATTAGACAATTAGACATGCACTACAAAGTACATTGTTATTTACTTTAAAATTATGAATATGGACACTTTCGGTTAATTCTTACAAAACAGACACCATTTCAATAAAACTTTAAAAACATGGGTTTTTTTGGAAAGTTAGTATCACAAGGACCATTCATGTATTTACAATTATTTCATATTAAAACAGGGACCATTTATGTTGTTGTTGTTGTTGTTTTTTTTTTTTTTTCCAGTCTATTACCTTTGTCAAATATAGCATCTTACAGTTATTTTTATTCTCAATGAATAAAAATAATGATAATTTCTATTAACTTTGAAAAAATAGGGACCTTTTATGTAAATTTTTAAAAATATGGAGATTTTTTGTAAAGTTACTAACAGAGAGACCTTTATGTAAAGTTAGTAACACATGGACCTTTCAAACAAGAACTATTCTTGCAAATTACTAATTTTTTTGAAAACTTCCCATAATACCATTTTTTATAACTAACAATGACTTAATATCGCAATATAACCATAATATTGCAATACACTTTTCTTTTACCAGTTTATACAATATATTTATTATGACTTTCTATCCTAAAATAGGAATGTACTTTCTAAGTATATTGCTATAAATGTCAATAATGTAAACCGATTTGTGCAGAATGTTATATTTTCATTGATTTGTGCATTGTAGCTTTTTTAAACTGTATTTTACCTTTTAGAAACTTATTTATTTGATATTAACTTGCTTTGTATGTTTCCAGTAAACAACCGTTTCATAACAAGCAACAAATACCATTATATCTTCAATTATTTTTCTATTACAACAACCTACTTTCCATTTTTTTAAAAGCTAAAAAAGAAATACAACACAAATGTAATCATTTTGTGTATATGTGTTGTAGTATGTGTGTGGTTTGTATATATTTTTTTATGTATGTATGTGTTGTTTATTTACTTTTTTATTGATATTTTTTCAATTAAATTGTGTTTTTGTCAATACATATGGTATAAGGCTTATTTAATTTTTACAGTGTATATCTTTTAAGTTTAATTTAAAATATAACATTAGTAATTCCATTATGTTTATTAACCATTCATTATGTATTAGTTTTGCTATATTAATTTGTTAATCCGTGCTAGTTAATATTAATATATAGGCTGATTTCAATGTGGGTTTACTCGGACCGAGGCTACTTGATATTTTTCTATTTTTTATTATATTATACATACAATAAATTACAAAGATGCTTATCTACAGTGTCTAGTTTGGAGCTTTAGGCTTGGTGGTTTGGTTTGGCATCAATACCACATGTGGTTTGGAGCCGATCACCGTTCCCATCTTCCAATGTAATCCACCGCTTATTTCGATCTCTACCTAACCCTATGTGTACAATCTTCCCCTTCTCCAGTTTGGTCGTCCTCTTCATCTGCTCCCATTTTCGAGTGAAGTTTCCATCACCGTTCACCCGCTTTTCTGGTAAATGGAATCGATCCCCAAAATACGTAGCCGCTTCTCCTCTTCTCGCCTGAACATCTTCCTCCATGATTTCAGAGGTTTTTCTTGACCGATATCATCATCATTTCGGAACCCTCAATCTCCCATAAACACGTTGAGTTGTTGAAATCGGACGAGCATAGCTGAAACAATTAGGTTATTACTCCCAATTTTAGAGGATTCTGTTGAAGACATTCTCACTTATTCTTGGAGATCATTGGTGAAGTTGTTTAATTCGTAGGCGGAGTTTAACTATTATCAGTGTCGTTGCTTTGGTGTATATGGTATGAGTGATTTGGGTTTTTTTTTGAATTTTACTGTTTTTCAACTAAAAATCATAATTTGAATTCAGTGATTAGTTTGTGTTTATTTCAGGGCGATGACAAAAAATGGGCTCTTAAAGTAAACAAATTTCATCAAGTTTTTTTTTATAATAACTTAATAATTGTAAGAAAATTATTTGTATTATCTTCTAAATATAAAAATTTCCATAAAAAATTTGTCCCGTGGACCTGTACGGTTCTATTTCGGACCTGAACTAAAATCGAACTTGAATCGACCCTAGATATGGTTTCTTCTTCATCTTCACTGTGATCCGCAAATGCCAGTCTTCTACTCCAACTATCGACACTCTGCAACACCAACTAGGTAAATTCAACTATTTCCAGTCTCTAGTTTCGTCGAATTTTGTTGCTTTAATACTCGTTTAAGTTTTCTTGACTTTGTATGGTTAATTTCAAGAAAAGAGTTCAGATTGGGTGTTCTTGAAATGTGTTACTTTTCTTAGCCCATGAAAAATTTATACCTAATTGATTAGTTTCCAGTTCAAAATTTTATATCACATTTCAAAAATTATGCTCAATTGATTAGTTTCCAGTTTAGAAATCATATATGTAAGCTTCTCATTAAGTTTCATCTTATAAGACAAGTTTACCAATTCGTGATTTTGAAAGAAAATTGACCTAAAACATCATATATTTTAAGAACTCATATTTTATTAATTCAATCTTTTTTTATTTTTTATTTTTTCCAGATGGTGTTTCAGAAAAGAGATTGATTTGGGACGTGGCTAATCCTAATGTGTGTGATTAAAAACTGTTAACCATCATAAAAAGGTACACGATAATTAGATTCATGTTATTTGTGGTCTATGTTAGTTTTAATCAACTAATATATAATGCATAATTGAACATAACTTAGTGATCATTGATCTTGAACACGTTATAGGTAAGATAATTTTTATTCTATGTTTTACTTTTTCTGTACTACATTGGAGCAGACTTGATTGATGCATAGAAGCTATTTGATGAAATGCCAAAAGAGATGTGATCTCATGGACTACTATGATCACATATTAGTGTCAAGGTTCTACACTCTATGATGCATTAACTCTCTTTATTGACATGATGTACACAAACACTAACCTTGATGAAATCACATTTACTAGCATGCTATCTGCTTCTAGTCATCTACTAATAAATTACCATATTTGGTGAATGGGTTATTCATGGATTTATTATGTTGGATTGGTTTTGATTTCCAAGGAATTATGTAATTTGAATTTTGGACTTGAGCCTAATTGATCTATCTATCCTTTGCCATATTTTGATTGATATTTTTTGTTAAAAACATTGATCCCTGTTTTGTTCTTTGTTTTGCTTACTTATTTGTTTAATTTCATTCCATTCCATTCCCTACGTACCTTCACAGGAAGAATGATTCCACCAGAGCTTGGCAACATTTCAACTGCCAAACTTTTTGAGCTTACTCCTTTTCTAATGTTGAAGTTGAATTGGTATGTCTCTTTTACCCTTTATGGCTTTGATCCATAAATATTTCTAATGTTGAAGTTGAATTGGTATCCTTTTCTAATGTTGAAGATGAAATGCCAAAGCCATAAATATTTATGCCAAAGCCATAAATATTATGGATCTTATGCATTCTACACTCTATCTGATTGTTCTTAAGGGTTTAAATCTCTAGTTGTTCTTGATTTTGAGGTTGTAGATTAAAAATGTAATGTTTTATTTTCCAGATCAGGAAAAATATGTTTGTATTGATCAGATAATGATAGTTTTCTTGAGTTTCAATTTATGTTGTTGTGGTGTTGGTGGTGATCGATGGCAGTAGCGGTTATCAGTGACTAACAGCGGTGGTAGCAGTGGTTTTGATGGCGGACGGTGGTGGTGATAGCATAACCGGCAGTGGTATGAGAGAGAGGAGGAGGGGTGGGGTAGGGATTGGAGTAGTAGTTTCTTTTTTGTTTTATTTTTAATTATGAAAATTGTAAAATATATTTAAATAAATAAATAAAAACTGAAAAAGCAAAAAGCAAGGGCAAAATCGTCATTATAAAAAAATCCAAAGCAAATTGGACCAAACTTGCAACAAAATGAAAAGTTTGGACCTCTGGTGCTAGTCCAAACATTTTTGGACCAAAGTGGCAATTGTATCGTGTTCATGTTGTATTGTTCAACCCTGACCTCAATATGTCAAACTCGAACAACATTGGTGGTTGAGAAGTTGGATTTATGATTTCAAAAGTCATTCCAAATGATAATTATAGATTACACATACAAACTTCAAAATCAATAATATAAATCAAAATATATCCACGCGTAGGCGGGAACATATTCAATAATTTTCGTATAGACTCCGTCTGCTAATTTTGAATTTATTTAATATTTTATATTTTTAAAAAGCCGATACAGGATTGGTCTGTAAAAATCGATAACTTCTTCATCTGACGTTCTTTTTCGTCTATCTTTTTACCGTTATGCTACTACTAACGAGATCTTCGATTCTCGTTTAGGTTGTGTTGGCTAAATACCGCTTGTTCCAATATTCGAATTCCAGGCTGTGTACTACCGATTTGAAACTTAGAAAAATCATAATTTCCTCATACGATGTCAGATTTTGGCGTTCTTTT